GCTAGAAACCGCCTGTAGGACAAGGTCTCAACAAACCTGATGGGGTCGCACTCCTAAACATAAAAGTTTTTGACAAGAAGACTGGTCAGAGCTAAACCGATGGGTCAAGAGTTGACAAGTACATAGAGATGCTCAATAGAAAGGCAGAGGATCAAGGTGCCGAGTTCATGTCTTATGACCCACTCAAAGGAGAATGGAAGTTCAGGGATAAACATTTCAACAAATATTGTCTTCGCGACGATGAATGAATCTGATGAGAAGCCAGAGGAAACATTTACACTATGCTTTATTGCATAATTTGTGTTGTTAATTAGTCTTAAAAAGTTAATAAACCCTAATTTTATTGTCATTGTTTTGAAGTAATTCAAATTGGGATTACACAATTAAAGTGTTGATAATCACAAAAAGGACGATATATTGATATTTATCATCAAGATTTTATTCTCTATATTTTGTGAAAATGAGCAATTTCATGTGTGTCCAACATTCATCTTCACACACTATGACCTTATGAAAATGGAATAACGTATATTGGGACTAGACGACTTGCAGGTAAAAAACAACAGCAAGCAGTGGAGAATTTGCAATCGTTATGTTGAAGGCTTTGACCATCACTGCAAGGTAACAAGATGAGCTTTTTGCCCCCATCAATTCTTCCACTTTGCTTATAAGATGTGCCTTATAATGGACATTTTATGTATTGGCATAAAGCAGTGACTAAATAACTGTAAATGGAGGTGGACCCAAGAGGTATTAAGTTTTTATCCAAATCAAAGCGGTACCTCTTTGCAGTCTTTGCAGAAATCTACGACTACTCAAAATGTAAGAGTATATGTTAAAGGTCATGTATTGTTTGTTGTACTATACCCTTCTTCTAATAGCTGTTTCCAATGGATGGCAGTGTGCCTTTTGTTGTTTTCACATCCCAGGCAACAAGACATAGAGAGAGAACTGATATATCTCGAACTAGGGGTCTTAACAGAGTTGTGGTTTTTCGGAGAGGAAATGTGATAATATGTTGAAGGCAAGCAAGAGGCGAAATGAATGGAGTGTGAAAGAGTTTTTTTTAATGGTTTTTAATATGAGAAAAGAAAGGAGGATCAGGAGAGAAATGGTGGGATTAGAAATGGCTAGAAATAAGTGTTGGATAAACCAAGTTGGTGTTAAGAGATATTACACACTCTTCTCCTAACTTGGGGTTGAATCTAGTATTCAAATAAGATATAACACACTTATTTAAATAACTAGAAGACATGGAGAGAGAACTATGGGAGATTGACTTTTCAATCAGATGGGTTGCAGTGACGACACATCGGCGGTCGAGCATCGGCGACAGGAGGAACTGTGATGGATTCTAGGAGGGGTATTGTTGAAGGCTTCTTCTGGCAGCCGCGCTTCACACAGCGCAGATCAGAGAGGGAAAAGAGAGGGAGTACTCTATCGACCAGAATGAAAACAGAGATGACGGGCAGACCTTTAGGAACAACGCATCTTGAGGGAGAGGTAAAGGTGAAGGTCGTGGTTGCAGGAGTACAATCAACAATTCTTCATCTTTCTCAACATTGGCCCGGCTGCTACGGTACATTTCTATTTTTTTCATTAAATTCATATAGAAACTCTCAAAGTAAGAATAGCTAAGGGCACAACTCCGTGGTGACTGACATTCTAAATAAGAGGTGCATTTATTTGTTTCAATCTCTTTAATCCCTTTGATGCACTTCCTACGGGTGGCAGAGCTGGGCTAGGCCAGCAACACGGTGGCTTGCTGGATTTGGGATTTGCTTTGGTCTCTGGTATCACATATTTCATTTCTATAATTTTACATCCGAGCATATCTAACATTGCTTCTAAGTATCTATTATCTAACATGGCATGAATGGCTAACAGTGCAGGTTAAATGATTTGGGTGTAATTGGCTACCACTCACTGTATCTCCCCTTAATATATGCCGTGTTTTTAGCCGACTTCTTTCAGGTAGTTACAATGATCAATTTTTTTTCTTCCCAATGAAGAATGACATTCTTATATGCACTTTGAGCTTCATCTGTCACTTGACTCACCTCTATACTAATCGTTGTTCTATTTGGGGGCAACAAACAATTCAGGAAGAAGATTGGCTTTTGGAGGAGGCATACTATTTGGAGATGAAAGACGCGGGGTTCTTTGATGCAGATTGGGAATAGCATTTTACGCGTTGTGATCGCCTCATTGTCTATGTACTTTGTGAATATTTCCACTCATGTGAACTGTCCACAACCCCGTCTTGGAAACGCAGTGGGGGCAGATATCTTCCTCTTCGGTGATTGTGTGTAAACGGACCGTTCTTCTTTTAGAGATGCTAAGAATGTAGAAACTGTAAGGTTAATTCTTGGGGAGCAACATCACCCGCGTCAGCGAGTAGATCTACTGGTCTTCTTCTTTCAACGTGGTAGCAAGGTAATGCTTTCTATTCGAGTTTTATTCAATTTTAAAAAAATTCTTTCATACTTTGTGGTATATATGTAATTTGATATATTTTTGCACTTGATATTTCAATTATTCTCTAATAATTATCATTATTTGAGTGCATCAATCTACAATTTTGAGTGTATTTCATAAGCTTACCTAAGATCAAGGGCCAATAGAATGGGGTAATTTAAATTAGTATTACACTGTCAATATATTTGTTCTTTTTTTGATAGGTTACCGCGAGTATACTATGAATGTGCCTGATATTGTTTGTAGTCTAGGTTCTATTTGGGAAGGCTGCATATGCATATCTGCAGTGAAGGTTTGAATTATGTTATTGATGAATCTTAGTTTTAATCATGTTATTGATGAATAATGTGTCTTCAAACCTTCATTTTCATGTAGTTATTCTTTGGGTGTTGTTATTTTTCTCAGTCAATGGATGAGCAAAAGATAGAAATGAAGTTGATGGACCGTGAAGCTACAGTTTCCTCCTATGTAGGTGGTTCATAAAGCCTCAAATATGGTTGGTAGAGAAGGCATCCCTCTTCAGGAAGGATCAGAAAAGGTAATACAATAGGCGTAACTTTTCCTCTCCAATTTTTTTTTTTGAATAAATTTTCTTAACAACTAGGCTTCTCAAAAAACAAATGGTTTGAAGGAGAAAGTTTTTATTTTGTCAGGTGCTCTCTTAGTATGAAAGGGATAGAAGAAGAGTTCGAGAGCTGATTCCATTTCAAGCTTCTCAGAGTATTTCTTCAGGTTGACCTAATTTTAGTACTACCTACTCTGAGAGAAAATTTGATTGTTGATAATCCAAAATACCTCAATGACATTGAGGTATATATGAAATTGTTGAGCTACTCTTATTCTTTTAATATGTATATGATGGCACTTATATTTATCATACAAATGTTTTGTTCGTTTTTGTTAGTTAACATATTTTTATTTTTTATATCGTAGTTATCATAACTAAATATCGTATGTAAAACGGAGTATTTGAAAACATATTTATATATCATA